AGGATAGGCGCTGTGCAGTCATTTTTCACAGTGAATGTGGTTAAGAGCTGGACAGGAGCCTAGAGAGGCAGAGGAATACATAAACAGAGATATATTTGTAAATCTGGATGAGGTCCAGACCAACTGGACCTAGCATTGAAGTTGTCTGTGCTTTGAGCAGGGGCCTGGACTGAAAACCCCATGGGGTTCCTTTCACACAGCATTGTCCTGTGCCTGTAGGACCCTATGGCCTTCAAACAGCAGGCATAATACCATTGCTTAGTAAAAGCAGGACTCTCCTCCAGACACAGAGCACACCACAGAGCTCAGGTCTCCTCAGCAGAAGTACCTGGCTCTGTCCCTCAGACGGGTGTCCTTTTGATGCAGGTGAACAGTGCCTGCCTTGACAGCATTGCCAGAGTCTTCTAGATAAGCCAGAAGGAGAGAGCACCCATGGAAAAGTAATCTGAAGGAAAAAACTGAAGTGTGGGAGTGAAATGCTGATTGGGTTGCATTTGCATTTCAGTAAAAATGCACTGACATCAATGTCTGGCTCTAAAAAAGCATTCCAATTTTGAAAGTAGTTCGTAAGAGCCTTGGTAAAGGAGAGTTCTTGGCAGAGGGTGGTGTCTGCAAGAGAAACACCAGTTCCCACTGACAGATACTCAGAGGATGAGAAATAGCTCTCCTGTACACACAGAAACACCTCAGGATTGGCCTCCAATAGGAGAGATCTTACATCCTCATCTGGAGATCATCATGGAAAATAAGAATTTTAGACAGCCACTTTATAGCTCTGAACATCAAAATAAGTAAACGTACAGCATCTCAGAAGTTCTAGAGATGAAGAGGCACAGACTTTTGATGGGATTCCAACTAATTTCACTACATACTGCATACAAAATCTGGCTTTAACTCTTCCTGTGCTATCAGTCTTAAGATTTCTACCTTTAAGCAGATTTCTAGTAAGATCTTCTAGTGAGAGTGGCCGACTGCAGCAATCCACAGCACTCACTGCAGCCAGGGCATACTTGGGCCCTCTTGCAGTGCAGCAGTTGGACAGACAGGACTGAGCTGTAAGGATGTGGGTAGGAGAAGGTGCTTTCTGCTGCTTACCTTCAAGAATGCAGCAGTTTTGGGTGTATTTTCTGAACTCAGATCACCTGAAGATGCTTGGACATTTCTGACAAGCGCCCTGAGACTGTGCAGCAGTATGGTGGAGGATACTTCTGCTAGTTGGAAACTCAGTCGTGAAGTCTGTGTTTAGGATTATATGTCCCCAAAGCAGCATGAAGCTAGGGAGGAGCAAACAGAGCCATGAGGGGAAACATCAGAGAGTTCCCTTGGAAGAATCCCCTTCATGGAGAAGGGCTCAAGCAATGGTAGGCTTTTCTAGATTACACCTTCCAAAATCCCAGGATCAGCCAGAATGGAGCTGGGTTGTTATTTCCCCAGCAGTCTACCTCTAGAAACCAAACCTTCTAATACCTGCACACACACACAAGGGTTCAGCACTGGACATGTCCTTGTTTTTTACATACATAATAAATAGGTGCTTGCAGCCCAGAGAATGCCCTGCTGCACTGCTCAGCAGCTGGCTGGTATCCTTTTAAATAATCAGTGGGCTCTCTAATGGTACTCCCTGCCTTCTGTTCTTGCAAGCAGCCAGCTAGAAGTGCTTATTTGCAGTCAGGCCCTGCACGATGATAATAGATGATAAACATAATTATTTGGGGTCCTGATTGCCTGTGCTTTCTTCATTCTGTTGCTGATGTGCAAAACAGTCTCAATGTTTTCAGTTTTATGGGTGGAAATTTTGACGATACAGACTTCATCCGAAAGGAAGAACTGCACGTTCAGGGAAACAAAGTGTTCAAGGCAACGAGCCGTTCACTGCACTGAGCTGCAGCTGTGGCAGACTTCTGCTTTTGAAAAACCAAGTCTTTAAGATGCACCTGAACACTCTGCAAAGCCAAGGTCAGAGTGTGATGGGAAGTGAGTTTCATTATTCGGCTGTAAAACCAACAGACAGGAAAACATTAGCGATGAGCCAGTTAGACTGACTTCTGCTCATAGCAGTGCTGTCACGTAGATATCACAGAACTCAGGATTTCAGGAAGCTGAATAACATTAAGTCTTCCAAAGCAGCAAAATGTTCCATTAGATCTACCAGTTGAGTGTGTGAAGCTGTGGGGTTGGGGAACACTTTGCTACACTAGTCAGGAGCTGAGTGCCTTCAGATGTGGAGCAGCAGATGCCTCAGAACAAAATCCAGAATGCAGATTTCTTACTTCTGTTTTAAAACAAAACTGGGATCTGATGCAGCAGCGGTGCTCTGCACAGAGGATCTGCTCCAACCCACAAGCCCATGTGCCCAAATCTGCACAGCCACATTCAGACATGGGTGCACGGAGCCATGAGAGACATGCAAACACATACTGTGACACCTAGCAGGATGTGCATAAGAGAAAAAAGGCATGGCAAGCCCATCCCTCTGCTGTAGTCTTCTGTCATCTTCTCTCTATTGTCATATGGTTCTTTCTGTAGACCTGGGCTGTGAACTCCCTTTTAAATGATCCATTCCACATTGTGAGAGATGGAACTGGTAAGGTCAGGACAGCCTGAACAGCAACAATTTTTCCTGCCAACTCAGGAGAAGGTGGGTTACTGGGAGAAGGCTGAGAGGCAGCAGGAACAGCAGGGCTGGCAGGGATGATACTCACGCCAAGTAGCCCTGCTTTTCTCTAAGTTAACCCCATCGTGACCTGGCTCCACAGACAGGCAGTGGCTGGGACACGGTGATGCAGAAAACAACTAGCTCTTTAAGTTTTATTATTAAATAAATACATCAATCCAGCTATCACAAGGCGTTGAAGCCAAAGTAGCCCAGTTAAGGATAGGAGAGACGAGAAAAGCCTTAGAGAGAACAGGTAACAAGAGATGTGTTTATTGCAGAGGAGAGAGAAGGCTTCTAACACAAGCAGGCTGCACACCACAAACATTCCCCGTGGTCTGGTAGGGCTGTACAGAGATATTTACACATACAGGCAGGGAGACGCCAATCCCTGGCTGATGAACAATCAACTTTTATTCTCTCCAGACCAGCAAAGCCAAGATTTTAGTAAACACGTAACACCAGAAATGTGCCTGTGGATTGGATGGAGCAGAGCTTTGGCTCTCCTTGCCAAATAACAAAGCCATTCTCCTGTGGGTGGTTTCACCGTGAGGCTTCTGTGGGAAGGAAGTGTTTCTAGTGGTCAAGGCAGGGAATGGGGGTTCAGCAGACCTGGCTCCCATCCCTGGCTCTAGGCACATCAGGGAAGCTCTGCAGCAAATTTGCACTCTTGCAGGAGTCACTGCTACCCTCTGTTCACCTCTCCTTGTTCAGGCACAAATTGCTCCTTAGAGGAACAAAGTGACACAGATTTTCCCCCACCTGATCCCACTTCCTGACCTTGCAGAGTTATTGCAGAGTCTGTGTGATTGATGCCTGCAAGCTGTCAGAGCTGTTTGGATGACAATCTGTCTGGAAGGTATTGGAAGACGTGCACACGTGAGCAAGAGACACGCAACCCACACACTCTACTTCCCTCCGTGCTGGCAAGCCTCCATCCAGATTTGCTCCTTCCACTACTCACACATTTAAATATTCACAAGATGGGCCTGCAGATAACCTGTGTTATAAAGCAAAGTAGCCAACACTGGCTGAACAAATGCCATTACAAATATCCAACCACTTATTTGGTTGCATAGACTTCTCATTTTACTTACAAAATCAAGTGAATGCAAAGACAGACTGAAAGCCTACAGCAGATTCTACCCATTTCTGCTGGGCTGGCACCAGGGTCCTTTGCATTGTCCCCTCTTTGTTTCAGCCACAGATGTCATTAACATGCTGTTTACCCCCCCTTCCAGCTCACTGATGAAGACACCAAAGGACCTAACCCTAATCCCTGTGGCACGCCTTTAGATAAGCACCTCCTAGGAGAGTTCCCATCAACATCATAGTGATGAAGGACTGTTGTCTTGAGGTGTGCATAGCTATTAGAGCTAATGACTTCACCTGACGTAGTTTATTTTGCAGTGAACACCACGGGGAGAACCTACCAACCTCACCAACAGCTTGTAAAGTAAATAATGAAAGAAGGAACAGCATACGGTCACTCAGGATGGCTCTGTGTTTAGTAAGCACACCAAGTTCATCTGCTTGTGGTGTTCTATCCCATTTCTCTTTCTACTTTCTCTCTCAGTTTTATCTGCACACTGTTAATTTTTTTAAACATTCTCTCACCTTGTTGGCTGCATTTCAAGAGTAGGTGGCATGAGTCAACTGCAGTGGACTAGCATAAAATGTTGTAAGATACTTCCCTCAAGTGGAAGGAATAAAAATCACTCAGCTGTGTGTCACAGACTCTGTAGTATACCTCAGGTAGCAGAAAGAAAATGAGAGGTGGACACCTACATGAGGTAGAATCTGCCAACCTGCTTGAAAGTTGTTAGGAGCATATAAAAAATACCAGTGATACTGCAAAAAAAATCCCAACCAACATCCCTGCTCCACTAATATCAGGGCATATAAGAACTCACCTGGACATCCTTTGTAAGAGAAAGCTTCAAGTTACTACGAGGGCAGATGATGTATATCCATGACCAGGTTTTGAAAATGCCTTGAATGCTGAGCTGAAGTGTTCTAAGAGCTCCCATATAACACTCCAGCATAAATGGAAGTGGCTGCTTAGAAGCAGCCTGAGGGAAGACATACCTGAGTCCTGTATAACAAGGCTTCTGCATCTATTAGGGCCTGCAGCAGGGCCGCGAGGGACAGACAGGAGGAACCAGATACAGACTGCAGTCTGCTGGTGGAGCTGGTGTGGGTGGTATCTGTACTCACCCTATGGCTGATGTCTGATCTCATCACCACTGCTTGCCTCAAAGCGACGAAACATGAACAAAGAATTCAGATCTTGCCGTAGTTACGAAAATAGCAACTCAGCTCCAGTCTCTTCTGCATGCACTGAACAGGAGAGCATTTCATCTCCTGCAAATAAAGAGATCAGAGGAGCCTAGCACAAGGCAGGATTTGTCTCTGTAACTGATCAGTTCAACAAAAGGAAACACAAACCATTTATTAGTGAAAATGAATTGTGCCATCAAAGGAGGTGTCTGCAATTATTTCTTTTAAATATCATGTTTCATTAACTGGAAAATATATAATTAATAAACTTGCCCCCTCATTTTTGTTAAGTTTCACTGCAAGGACCTTATTACTGAAATAAATCTTTCTAGCAGTGCGTGTTGACAGAACAGAGGAAGGTGCACGCCTCTGTGTGTGTGATAATTTCCTCATGTGAAACTGAATTACTAGGGAGGAATAATCACCTTTCTTCACTGCTGAGACTGTAGATATACCCCACTCTGAGACCAGTTGTTTAAGCTCATGCCTCTTGGAAGCAGGCAAGAAGAGACTGCTTTGGCTGGCAGATGACTTGATTCAAAAGACATTAAGCAGATGCAAGCTCTTCTTTCACTGGCAAGTATGGAGATACAAAAAATCAAATGTATTTTCGGATTCACAGTCCATTAAAAAGGTCTCCTGACTATCTAGCTGTTCAGAAAGACCTCGGTGGTTGGGCTGATATCCAGACTCTTTTGTAAGCCCCACATTCATCCATCTCACAACGCTGCACTAGACCTGCACGACTGAGATCTGTTTTCCACACACATCCAAACTGTTATGATTTGGGGATGTTTGGTGATGGCTGTAAATGATACCAATTAGAAACACTTCAAAAATGTTGCTGAAATTTGACTCCAAGCATAAAATTCCCCTTAGATTCTGTCTCCACTTGTGATCTTTCCCTCAAGTTAGTTGATTGCCAGTTCACCGAGGATAATTAAAATATTTCCAAAGGCTGTTCTGGGCAATCCTTTTTTGCCTTGCTGCAGGCTACAAATGTTCGTGGTTTGCCCTAGGCTGATGTTCATTCCTGCCTGATTTGGCACAAGCAGCAGTGCATGCCAAACAAGGAGGAAAGCCTGCCTCCATCACAACTCTCCTTCCCAGGGTAGGTGGCACAGGAACCAAGAGAGCAGTGGCAGGAGGAAGAACAACACAAACACTCACTGGGTAGATGGTGATGCAACTTCTGGGTAGCAAGGAGAAGAGGGCTGTGTGCATTTTAATAAAGCCCTATGATCTCACTGCTTTTGAGATGTCTGGATGCCCTCAGCAAAGTCAATGGGTTCTAGAGACAAGGGAGAACAAAAGCTCTGCGGGTTGTGTGCTGGGAAATGCACAACCCCTAACTTGGTGCAGGTCAGACCTCAAGAAACAATATTAGACAACCTTGCCTTGCTACTGCGCTGAATCTAAATAGAGGAACCCATTCTCCACATCATTTTAACCAGCATTTATGAATGTTAAAACAGCCAACCAATTTGATTACACAGAAATTTTTGAGTCAGCAAATTATCTAGTTAAATGATGCATATGGAATTGGTAATTGAACAGCAACAGAAATCTTTTAAAATTTCTTACCATCTAAAGGCAATAACCCTATAAAAAGATGAAAAGAGAAGGGCCGAAGGTATTGCCCTTGTAGAAGAAATCATATTTCAGGTATCACCTTCAATGTAACCTTTATGCAGCTACGCAAACAGCGCGGGTTGAGTCCGGGTTTAGAAGGAGTGGAATGGAAGCTCTGAAAACATCACGTATTACGTATCACAATGATTTGCCCTGGTTGTGCACCAGGGGAGGGGATCGTGTGCCAGCCCATCTCCATCAACGCACCTCTCTGCTTCAACACTGTGTACAAAAGTGTGACTTTATTTTTGTAGACAAAAGCGTGACAATGCCATGCAACATGTGTGCTCCCATCCCTCAACAGCTGAGAGCCCCTTTGTGCAGACACGCTGATTTTTGCATTCCACAGCACCTCTGCTGGGTAAGAGCAGGAACACGGGAGAACGAAGATGGAAAAGTTAAGCAACTTCACTCTCCAGCTCTTGGGCTGCACAAAGGGGAGGGAGCAGGGAGGCGAAGCATCTGGCTTCACTGCTTCTCTAACAGCCTGGCAGGAAGGCTGCTGTCAATTCCACCTTCTGCCTTGTTGGAAGAAAGTAGAGGTGACAAGAGGCCCTCCAGGCAAGCAGCCAGAAACCAGAAATTCAATTGAGCTACCTCCCAAAACTGGACTTTTTTGGAGACCCTTTCCCTGAAATTGTTTCGCCTTTAAAAAAAAAAAAAATTTCTTTGCAGTTCAGGGCCAATTCATCATCCCTGGTCTCCTGGCTCTCCTTTCCTCCAAAAGCATGATTTGCACAAAAAGATTTCCATTTTCTGGGCCGCTCTACAGCCAGCCTCGCCCACAGTAAATACATACACACATAAATATGCACTCACACGCACGCACAAACATTGTTATTTATAGATAGAGGCACTGCCACAGATAAATACACGGGTGCGTTCCCCTCCCATAGAACACGTGAGAGAGAAGCAATACTGCAGCTGAATTCACTCTACACTCGTTGATTAGGAAACAGAGTGTGGGACATACGGTCTATCTCTAGGGCTTAGACCAACTGGTTATTGGCTGGTGCTGTTTTTCTCTAACAAGCCCCTGGATATATCACTGTGGCTGCAGAGAAATGTAGCTGAAAGAGCCTTTCACTGTCAGTAGCAATCTGTCACTTCGTGTATCTTACCCTATCTCTTCCAGCACAAAAGCTTCGGAGCTGCAAGTCAGTTAGGAGAAAGGTCATTCTGCAGGTAGGCTCTGGTGTTTTTCTTTATTTCTGGGAACGCGTGGCCAGCTTGAGGCACTGTCTGGATGCTTCAGCATGTGTTTCAGCTTCACAATATGCCTGGCTATAATTTAAGACAAGAGAGCATTTCCATTACAAACCCCATTTTTCCCATGGATTTATTTCCCCTCTATTTGGCTTCACTTTGGGGTGGACCTTCCCTGAATATATTCACAGGCAGGGAGAAACTATTTTTCTTGTGCAATGTTTAAATCCAGCTCAGCTTCTTCTGGTCGTAAGAAATTACATATGCACACAAACACTCTCGAGCACATACAAAAAGCTTATACAAACATATGCCCGCAGAGAGATCTGTTACAAAAAAGACAAGCCAATGCAAATAAGCTCAATTTCAGAGGTGAATTAATTTGACTGACTTTATTATCCTAAATTATTAACAAGTTCTAGCAAACTTAGAATGCAATAACCACACATGGGCTTTCATGTGAGTTAAACAGAAACAGATAACTTTTCCTGATAGACGTGGTATCAGCACAAATCTGCAACGGCGAAGTTGGAGGCAGAAACTCGACACAGGACCCCTCTCTTTGCAGGTTTGTGCTCCCAACTCCTGTGTGGTTCTCCTCCCTGAAATATTCCAGTGAAATGAATCACCCTCCAACAATGCCAGAACTCCCCTGTTCTCATGAACACCAGCTGAAACCTGACCTCCACAGCATTCTAATCTGTTTATGACTTGGTCTGGCTCAGTGAGCCCATTCTGGGGGGCATTTTTTTTTCTTTTTTAAACTCCTTCATCGATTCTAGTCCAATAAAGCACATTGACAGAAGCAGTTTGTGCTGACTAGTGCCTCTAGTTCCAGGAGAGCCTTCATCCCACTTCTGATGGCACTCAAAAAGGATGATGTTATGCCCAGGCCTGTCTTTCAACTATGCTGTAGATACCCTGCATAACCCCACAGAGGCACCACAGCCTTCCTGGACTTCACCTCTCCTCTGGTGATCGCTTTTCCTCTGGTGAAACGGGGATGTTAGCTTTCCCCTGCCGTGCTGCAGTGCTGTTGTGCTATCTGGCTTGATGCAAATCCTTCCAGTGCCACAGGAAGCCTGATGAGGCAGTCAGGAATGCAACAGATTTATCCCATCAGGAACACTGCCCATATATCCAATCAGCTGGAGATGCTGTGGCTGTCCTCAGAATATGTGGTATTCTCTCTTCTTTTCTTGATCTTTCCCCTGAGGGTAGGAAAACACTAAGAATATCATCCAGGAAAAATGGTTAGTGTTTTCCCATAGTGTTTTGTGACTCCTAAGTACAATGTAATCATTTTCTCTGGTGAACTTTTTGCTAAGAGGACACAACAACACGGCAGAGAGCTGCAGAGACTGAAAACATGAGCTCAATTTACCCACAGAGCAGATGAAAGTTCCTGTTGTATTTTTCATCTAAGTACAGCAAATCCCTCTGCCAAGCAACAGCCCAGGTGGCCACAAATATTGAAATGCTAACTGCCTGCATGGTATGCAGGCAGGCACGCAGTGAGTCCTTCCAGGAAAGCAATGCCACCTGTCAGCAGCACTGGGAGCTGGAGACAGCTCTGGAGGCATTGAGAGCTCCTGGATTCTCAGTCCTCACGAGCCTCCTGCAGTTAGGAAGCACTGGTAGGGTTTCACTCTTCATCAGCGACTGCTGCACTCTGCAAGTGATGTGGCAGAGATGGCATCAGGCCAACGGGAGCCATGTGTAGTGAAAATGCAACTCATTGCTCAGCAAGGGGGAGGAAGATAAAAGAAAACATGGGCTCTAAATCTACCTGGATCTGCTGCCTCCACTGCTGCTGCAAGAAGGGGGGACTGGCAGGCAAGCTTATTGCACATTCAGTTAGCATCAGAGCAGGAGCACTAGCTTCAGGCTCCTCATTTATACACAGAAGAAAAACTGAAATGCTTCCCATTCCCTCACCTCGCACAGCACCAAGAGGAGGATTTCATTCCACAAGTGGAGTATTTATTCATTCCACACAGTCTGTGAGCTGTAGGGGTAGAAGCATACACAGTGGGATGATGGGCAGGTGGATGGATGGCAGTGAACGCTGCAGGCAAGCTGGAGCACAGGCAGACAGCTTGCTGCATGTTCCAGAACCAAGAACTGCTTGAATTGCTGGAAGTACTGCAACAATCCTGGGTGACGTGATGGACAAGGAGCCTGTGCTGCCTCACATGCTGCAAAAGCATGTTCCACCTGTGCCTTCCTAGCACGTGCTTCCCTCAGTATCACCCTCCATTCCCATATGCCGAGTGATCTGGACTGCTGGGCCCGGCAGGACAAACACACTGGGCTTCCTGGCGGCTCAGCCAGGACTTATGAAGCCATCACGCACTCAGGCTGTCTCTGAACAGTGCCAGCACGCCTTGATATGTTGCCTGCTTTTCACCTGATTGTCATCTTTGGATGCTATCGCTGAAAGGCATTTTGGAGCTTGAGGACCTGCTGCGAAGAATGAGGCCAAATTCCCAGCCCTTCCGCCTCCCCACTTCTCCCCTGCCTTCTTTTTTCTGGAAAGTTTTCCCATGCTAAGTATAGTTCCTAACAGGTGTGTGACCAGAGGGGACTGTCAGGGATGCAGCTGTCCCCACAGAGGCCAGGATCCATCTCCATCTGTCCCTGCGTTCTTCGGCCATGGGCTGGGGGAGCTTCAGAGACTCAGACAGGGAGGAGATATGTGTACAGACACAGAGGGAGGATAACCGTTCCAGGGAACGCCACAAACAAAGCCTTTGACATCAAACTAATGCATCCTCTGAGGCTTTTAAAGAGCCCTTGCCACATACAGGCAGCCTGCCAGCTAACTCATCTCTCTTCCTTGCCATGCTAGCAGCCTGATGCCAAGGTCAGGCTTTAAATGAAAGCTGACTGCTTTGCAATCCCCAGGGCCTCATTTGGGGATGCCACAAGACTGGTAAGAATCGGCAGAAAATACCTGACCAGAGCCAGCTCCAGCGACGTCTGGGGCCTCTCTGCTCCCACACACACCTTTTACCAGGGCATAACACCTTCAGATGCAGACACCAGCAGGAGTTTCATCTGGACACTATCCATTATGAGTAGCAGCTCTGGAAACCCCGACAGTCTGGACTTACTGTGAAGCTTTCAGAAATAGGATGTTGTTCTCCAGTCCTCAGCTCCGCATGCTAAATTCCACTTTTGTTACTACAAAACTGGCATTTCAGCTCTCACAACTGAAAAGTCTGAGAAAGTGGCTCTGAGATGAAAACCCTACTCCCCAGACCTACAGCAAACAAGAAGAGTTAAAGCCAGATTTGTAATCTCCAAGGTTTTTAAGCCAATTTTGTGACTGTTTCAGGCAGCTCTGGCATCATTTGTAATTGGTGACTCACTGAACAGAGGGGATCTGACCAAGGGGACTGGGGGTGGTTCTCTCCCGTGCAGAGATTTCTGAAGCTGGAAGAGAGGAAGCATAGAAAACACAAGCAGACATTTGAGAGGCGTTTGCAAACTATCTCAGAGACAAAATTTCCTCTCAGTCCCGCCTGCACATCTCTGCAAACCTATCTGGCCTTTATGGAGTGGTTTAGAACAATTTGACCCAGAGTCTGAACAACAGAATTAAGCACTAGGTCAGCAGAAAAAAAAGAAAAAAAAAAAAATGACTGCAGCTGCTTATTATTGCTTGCTATTGAAGAGTTATTGTTACTACAGAACGTTTGTTTCCCTGAGCCACATTGTGTAAGTGTCGGTGCCTTTGCTAGATTTAATGGTCCAATTATCATGGGCTGTGTCACCTCCTCCCCTTTCTACATGACGAGACCTGCTCTCCTGCCTTCATTCCCCTCTGCTGTTTTGCTAGCAGGCAAACACACCTCTGCCGCTCCTTCGTGGGTAGCCTTCCTTGTAATTTCTCCCATGCTTGGAGTGGGCGGAAGAGGCAGAGTGGAAGAGGCAGTCTCTGGGCTGGATATTTCACCCTAAAGATGGCTGGGAGGGGGTCCTCTCTGGATGAAAGCTTTTACTTTACAGAAGTTCTCATTTAGAGTTAGTCACATCAGGGTCTTCTCCCAGACACTGCAGTGAGCTCTGGTCCTCTGGACCCTCTGCTGTATGCCAACCTGCTCAGAGGCTGGCATTAACAGCTTTGGCCAGGATGTCCAAGGAGACAAAGAGTGACGGGGCACTGCCAGACAAGAAACTGATTCCATCACCTGAAACAGCTGGTGACCAAAGATCAACTAGTCTGCCATCGCCCTCACAGTCCCTAAGAAATACCCTGCAAATATTCCAGAGGGAAACAAATCTACTTTTGGTACACTTCTGCTTGTAGGGCAGTGCCTCAACCAAAAATTCATACAGATATGGAACTCATCAGTCATTCTCCTTCCCTAAGTGGTCACCGTAAAGCAAAGGAGAGTCAGTTTAAAACAGCAGGAGCTGGCTGGGCTGGTGAGGAAGGGGCCAAGCTCCCCTTCTGGATCCCAAGAGCAGCCTGCAGCAGGTCATCCATGACATACCCTGACTACTGTATCTGAGAACATCAGCTCCTCACCAGGATATCAAAAAAAACCAATATAACAAACATCATTAGAGAGTTTCACAATAGGATCAGACATTTATGGGAATAAGAACATCATCCACAGTGACAGTAGCTCAAATGAAAATCATAACAGCTATTGATTGGCCTGCTTCAGGGTACAAGCTGCTTGCCAGCTGGGGTCAGGGGGAAATCTCCCCCCATAGGGTAGTAATGCAAAATTATGGGCATTATGGGATTTTTATGCCTTCCTTTAAGGCATCTGGCCTTGGCTGCTGGTGGAGACACAGTACTGGGCTGGGAGGACCATCAGTCTGTTCAGCCCAAACATTTGCTATGTCCTAAAGAGAAATTAAGGGTTCCATCACTGAGACATCACACAGCAGAACTGCTCACTCTGTGCATCACATCTGCAAGGCAAGAGTGCGACCAAAAACTCTGAACGCTCCTGAAGTGCCACCATGCCCAGTCCCACTGCCAGCCTGCTGTAAGGTGCAAACAATCTGTCTTTATTTCTGATGGGGTCACCTTTCTGTCTTAAGATGCTCACCCCAGGGCAGATGAGCACCGTTGGGCATAAGGAAAGCCCTGCTTGCCTGAGAGCAGGGATGGGACTGTGACTTCTGGTACTGTAACAATGAAGAGCTCCTACCCAGGACCAATGGGTGATCTGGGTCCTCATGTCCCACACAGGAACCCAGCCTCTGGCAAAACAGCTGTCAGAAGGTCAGGCTGGCTGTGGAAGCAAGAACAACGGTCTTAAAAACTTCAGGATCCACATGGAGATCCCTTCTGCTTGCGTGGAACAACAACTCATCCATCACTCAGATAGCCAGACAGGGCCATTCATCTTCATTTGATAATACCTTCAATCTACAAACACCTAGATTAAGTCTCACAACCAGTCTGGGAACTGGTCAGGATCCTTTTATCAAGCCAGGGGTGTACTTTCCTGGCTCAGATGCACCACAAGGTTTGGTCTCAAAGAATTCCCATCATGACTTCTACAGCAGGATTTTCTGAGAAGCCACTACACCCCCATCTTGTTGAGCCAATTATTTTGGTGTTTAAGTGGAAGCCAAATTCTGCAATTGCAGAGCATGTGGTTGTCTTGTGGCTTGCCCTAAAGGAACCAGTAGTGCTGCTGGGAACCCTGGCCCAGCAGCCCTGAGCCTGGTTTTCTGCAAATCGTAGAGCCTGCTGCTTACATGGCCGTCCTGGTGCTCCTGTATCTCTGCTGGGGCCAGAACAGCTCTGGAAATGGTAGGGTCTGAACTGCTTTTCTAGAAGAATAAGGGGATCTTGCTATAAAACCGCAGTAACTCCTGGGACTGACAGGCATCCTCCCCACATATGCTGGTTTGACTGAAAGGATGGCATCAGCATCCCATAATGCCCATAACTGCGCAGTATTACCCTCTGGAGGGAGATTTCACCCTGACCCTAGCTGGCAAGCAGCTTATTTCACTGGGATAAAAGGCTAAAAATTTAGGATCTGACTTGGAAAACTCTAAGGGAGGCTGCACTCAAGGATATTCCAGCTAGACAAGATTTTTAAATTCAGATCTCGGTGCATCACAACCTCTGCAGGGTCTGCTCCCTTCTAACACAGAACCATGCCCCAGCTCTATCTGTTTAGGGGAACAAAGTCCTCACTCATGTAGGGATGTTGACCAAATCATAAAGAAGATATAATGACACTGTCTTGGCTGACATGCTGATCGATGCTTTTCATGCAAAATTATGCTTTCTGCAA